TGTATATATATATATATATATATATACACATATATGCATGTATATATGTATGTATATACATATATACATGCATATATACATACATATGTGCACATATATACACACATACATATATACATTTATACATACATATATACACATATACTGTATATACACATATATTCATACAAATAGATACATATATACATACATACTGTATAAACTCAAAGCTGATTGACAGAAAGAAAATTTCTTTCACCTGTTGAGTTCATTCCTTATTTCGTCCAATTCCTGCTTGTCTTGTTGCCCCGCCTCTTTTTCTCCCGTTGCCAGGTAACGCTGCCTCATGGCCTCTAGCTCCGCCTGTTGTTTCTTTAGGTGCAGCATAGTGTTTTCCTGCTCGCGCTGCACAAACACATGCACACAGAAAAAATAAATTCAGGTATGTAAATTCAGGACATCGTCTGAATCTGCTGTGCTTCACAGTGACCACTAGGGCGGGTGGTTTTAGCTACACATGCAGCCTGGTGTCATTTGTATCATTATATACAATACAAATCAATAATCAATACATTAAAAAAAATCATATTGTCAATCGGAGGATTTGAACACTGCAGATGTGTTTTATCCAATCACAGAGCAGCTCAAAGTAATAGAGCTCTCCTATTGGCTGTTTTGACCAACCAGCTGCCTGTGCACGCTTTTCACTGAAAAAAAAAAATTACATTTATGTATGTTTATCAAACGCTTTTATCCAAAGCGACTTACAGAGGAGGACTAACGGTATCAAGGATGTGGTTCCTCTGGGAATCGAACCCAGGACTCTATGGGACAGGCGTGCTAACAGCTACACTATGGAACCACGATAACTTAGTGTAAATGACTGATAAGAAATAATGAATCACTCGTGTCACCGTTATCTTAAAAGTAGAATTTGTATTAATAGATCGTCATCAATTTACCCAAGATTAATTTTCCGATACCCGATCAGGCGCCGTAGCCGATATCGGAAAAGATATTCAGTGATGTTTTTGGACAGGTTGGTGACGACAGTTTGAATCAAAAGTAAGCTAAAGATCGGACCTGCGTTTAAACACAACGTTGTCTCCGCACTGGAACAGACAGGTGGATAAAAGCGGGCGAAACTACAACGTTGATCTTCCTTTGTTTTCGTGTGAATGTTTT